CAGCTTTACAAAACCACTGGGGAGGAAAAAGGCATTTTTACCCTTAAATTGATTGAATAAGCCACAATAGAATTAAAGAAAGGAAATATCACTAAATAAAAACATGTATTATTTTCTCCAATGCTCTTTAAATAATCTAACAAGCGAAAAAAAAGAAAAAAGAAAAAAGACTAATGAATTTTAATAAAGCACTTTGCTATCACAGTTTTAGTTTGAGAAACAAGATCTACCTTGTCATATGCAGTTGCTTGTCTCCAGTCCTCATTTTGCTTTAGCTGACAAATAAACTACGTGTTTCTTTAGGTGAGTCTTAAGGCTTAAACTTTCTTTTCTCCACAATTTGCTTTTAAATTAATAATTAGGCAGCACCTTCCCTATCTTAATTTTCATTTTCACACTAAAACAAAATTATTCAATTGTATTAAAGCTATTGATGAGCTAAACTGAAATTATACATCCGATGTAATAAAAGGTTCGATACTCCAGCAAGGGAAAAAAAAACCATCACCAGTAAGAACTAGGTGAGAAGTGGGGATCAGTTCAAAGACTGGGAGAAAGTTGTATAAAAAGGGCCACCTAAAGCCTATAGAAGTCACTGTAGAAAAAAAAAGATTCTCCACAGTTTATTTTCCAACTCCAACATCAAAATGAACAAAGACAGGTACGATAACTTGTTCCCCCCATTCCTGTTACTGCTTCTGAAAGTGAGGATGGGCTGAAGAGCCATGGCATAACTCCTCAAGAGTTCTCAGCACTTAAGCCATAGAGCACTTCAACTTTTGCCAGGGTGACCTGTAGAGGAGTTTTGAGGCCAGGGAGGAGCTTAACTGTGATTCTTACAGAAGAGTCCATTGGAGAAAACACAATTATGTCATATTGGTGTTCTTACAGCCACGTTGCGCTGAAGTGCAAAGCCACAGCACCATGCAAGCGTGCCTGCCTGCCTGCCTTCCTGTTTGAGCAGGCATAACTACCCTGTCCCACTTCCTCCTCTGGCACAGTCCAGCCACGCAGTTAAGCTATGCAGTGAAATTAGAGAACTTTTCTCTCCCATGTGCTCCCTTATATGCATGACTATGGCTAGGCTCAAAGTTGAACCTCAGGGGTATAAACACTGCGGTTCACACCTTCTCCAGTTTTCTGCATGCATTAACAGACTTGTTTTCTGAGCTTGTCTGATCTCCAGAATGCTACTAGCAGTTACTAACTAATCAATATAGCTATCATCTCTTCTGTATGGTGTCATATACCAGTCCACCGCGCACGCTTGATAAGAGAACATGCAGCCAAATTAATCCAGAGACTGTTCCAAGAAGTAGCAGAAATAGTCCTAAATTTAAACATGAGTTGGTCTGCTTTGTTGAAAACAATGTAAGACCCCAAATGTAAAATGAAGAGTTGTGTGTTTTCAAATGGTACAGAGAGGCAAAACAACTGCCATCTAAGCAGCTAGAAAGTGGGGGGGGGGGGGCCTGAAACACTGTTCACAAAACAGAAGATCCAGTATTTCCAAAAGTGAATTAGATTAAAGAAAAGCTATGAAGAACAGGAAACATACACAAGTGCAGATTTCTAATATAAAGTATGAAAGACTTCTTACTACCATTTTTGGATTTTTTTTTTTTTTTTAAATATGAACAAGCTTGCTATCCCTTCTCAAATCCCTAAACACTGAATCTGCTCAAACAAACTAATTTGTACTTAGTAATAAACAAGAAGGCAGCATTGACTGGTCTGTGTGTTCTGGAAATTGTACGTGACATTCAAACTTATTTTGGTGAAGATCGAAGTGCACCTCACAGAAAAGTTTTCAGCTTCAGGTCAGATGCAAATGAACCTTTTTCTGGGAATACAAGTGCAATTACCATATTTACGAAGATCATTCATTAGTCAGAGGTGTCATTTAAATACAAGCAAAGCTAGACTACTTCAACTCATCAATATAATGTATTTCAAGAAAATATCTGACATAGTAGCCAACCATTTACATACTACTGGAAGCTCAGTTTAGGAGGAAATTGTAAAAATTACAGATTAAGAAGTTAAATAACGTATCAAAAATTTAACGAAGAAGAAATTAGGCATATTAAAAAAGCGTGAAAGCTGAGGCCACAGGGAGCTGTAGATGCAATATGAGATCCTGCAGAGTTCTGCATATGTGGTCACTGAGCCTGTCATGGGATTACTGTTTCGCATGGGTACGCATGGGTTTCACATTGCTCGAACAAGCAATGGGATAGCTAGAACTATGCATGTACACAGCTCCTATCTTGCAAAGACAGAAATGCTCTAAGGCAAAAATCACCAGACTTCAAAAGGTGTATTTTGCTGAAAAAACAAAACAAAACCCCAAAACAAAAAAAAACAACAAACCAGTGTAGCTGTCCTACCCCTGAACTTCAGTGTAGCTGTCCTACCCCTGAACTTGATCTCTTTTCGTCTGATCCATTCATCCAGTGCAGAAGAAATACTCTTTTGCACACATGCTTTAGGAATATTCGCATCAACCAGGCCTCCTCTTTTGATGCAAATTTGCATTTCCCCTGGTTTCTTCTGTGGCCTACAGCCTACTGCTGTGAACAGAAACACTCCGACATATTATTTACAAAAGCTAACACAAACATCTAAAGGAATCTCAACAATTGGAAAGGTTGCATTTCCCTTTGCTAACTTTATCTTTCCTTATACTGTGAGCTATGTGGGCATAAATCTATCCCTTCCTGAATATCTAGAATATTGCTGGCACTGCCACAAATACAGGCTGTTATATTAAATGTAATGATTTGGGGATTGGGGTTTTGGGGCGTGTGGTGTGAGTCATCTTCATCCACATTAAATGAAACATCGACATTTGATACTTCAGCAATCTCTACTCAGGGAAGGGAGAAAAAGCAAAACAAGTCAAAGACAGTTTTATCTAACTTCACTCCAAAGGAGTAATTTATCAACTCAGAATCTGTAAAAACCGGAACGAACACAAGTGATGGACTCCATCAAACAAAACAAAAATCAGACAGCCAGTCCACACCTACAGATCAGGAGAAGTATTTCTGGGCTCTGCTCTATGAAATAAAAGTCCAACTCCCTCTAACGAATCAGCTACTGACTTTGCATGGCAGGGGCACAGAGCACCTGGCAGGTGACAGTGGCCGCCAACTAAAGCCATCTCTGCCATCCGTGTAGCTGACCAGCCAGCACGGGCATGTCATCTGGGAGGCAGATACTCTCCATCTTAAGCAGCAGAAACAGAATATGATCTGAAGGGTCAGAAATTATCATAGTCTGTATGTTGATCCATTGACAATTATTACATTTTCCAGGAAAATCTTATTATCCAGTCAGACAATCAAGCTATGCATATGGGGCAATCTCTAATAACAAATAAGCTTTGCATAAGGTCCTTTTGTAAGAAAGATTTCAATTTTCTTATGTTGATATTTTTCTGCAGAATGTACTCTTTATGAAGACTAGCATCAACTACCTCATTTCACTGAGTTATATCATCTTTGGTAAAATCCTCTACTCTTGAAACTACTCTGGTGTCTAGGCGAGAGCAAGCCTTTTTAGATTGTCCATATGTGAACAAAGAAAATGCCTGCATGAAAGTTCTCTTTCAAAAGTTTTAATTTATTATTTTAATCTCTATACTGTCTCCGTTAAAAAGAAAATATACTTGCTGTGTCCGTTAAAAAGAAAATATACTTGAGGTACTTTTTCCACAAAAGTTTAAAATATTTCATTCAAAGTCATCTAATTTTTCCTGAGAAATGCTTAAGCAAGTAACTTGAACAGCCCTAGAGAATATATTCTAAGAAAAAGGGAAAAGCACAATAATGCTTTCCAAATCGGTTTTAAATAGGTAGATATTTAGGCCACAGTCTGACATGAGTTTTGTTCCATTCTGGACAAAGTAAGCAAGAGCATGTAAGAAACATGTACTTAAATAAGATACAGTCAACAGAAAATACAGGTTTTGATGCGCAGAGAAGACCGCTTTCAAAAAAACTGTATCTCTTTCTTAACACAAAAGGCATTCGAAGTGATTGTATCAGTCTGCCCTACAAAGTAGGATGCTGTTTTGTATCCTTTTCTCTCCACTTCAGCAGCATATTAAAAAAGACAACAACAAAAAAGGCACCACCCTTCAAAGCACCTACCTCCCCTTTCAAGCACAATATTCTTAAGTCCACCCTGACCAGTCTCACTTGGGACCTGCTCCCTCAGCCCAGGGGCTCCAAGAAGAGGAAAGAATAAAACTAAAAACATGCACGCTAAAGATATCAAGTACACGTGTTTTAATTCATCTTAAGCAATTCTGCCATATGGAGTAACAAAAAGGGTTACGCGCTTGCATCTGAGTGCAAGACCAAACAAATACGAGATAGAATAGTCAACGGAGAAGAGACCTAATTTATGTGAAAGCTGCTTAGCAGATTCAGTTGTATACCTATTTATATGGCACTGTTCCTGCCTTCGAGCGTACCAGAAGGGTGGGGAAAAAAAAGCTTGCTATTATATAAAATATATGGCCACAGTTAAGAGCATTGTCCACTATAATGTGTGGTATCAAAAAGTTAACCAAATGCCAAGGTTTCTTAATGTTTAAGACAAACCAATGATGACCTATTGAACTAAACTTCACTTATCCTAAGGCTACACAATGTGTAGGCAGTGATTGAAAGTTCTTTCATTACCCGTACAGCTCTTATGTGGCCAAATTACCCTCTGTTCTCAAGAGAGCCAATTTGCTCTGATGATTCATATCCTGTTTTGAATCAGCAATCACCAGTGCTTCCTCCCAACTGTATGTGGTAATTTCTTAAGCAGAGTACTGTTCTCTAGGGATATAATTTAAAAAAAAAAAAAAAAAGTTATTTCATTTTGACCACAGTGTGAAACAAAGACTGATGATCAAGATTTGTTCACAGCTCTGGAAAAAGGCTATTACAATGCATTTAGCAAATCTGTCAAAAAAGTGCATTAAATAACAACAATGGACCTCAGAGAAATTAACTGTATCTCTTTATTGTTAACCAATGAATGTTATCCAAAATAGTAGATGTAATTGTAGCTTAATTGTACAACACAAAACATGATGCTAAAGGAAAAAGCATGTGGAAAATTACTTCACCAAGAAATCATTAAATGTATTCTTAGTATTTCTGCACCAGTAATTGTTCCCAACTGCTGGTGACAGCAGCTATTACCACTTTGTTCATTGTGAAAATCCATATTACAAATGGTTGTTCCTGGTTGTTTAGAAAAAAAAAAAAATCACACAGCTTTATAAATGGATCTAATCCATTTAGCCCTACTCTATATACTGTAGATTTATGAACAGCAAACTTTACCGGTATTTTTCCCCAACACTGAAACTGATGCATCAAATGTTAGTGCACACTTTCCAGGGAAAAAACATAAAAACTCATTGGAAGCACAGTATTTCACCTGCTATGGCAAGCTGTTCAAATACTTCAGAAATTTGCTCATGCTTTGGTGTACCAAGCCTGTGAGGAACACAACTGTTCTCACAATGCACTGCAAGTAGAAACACCAACTTCCACCAAGCCGCACTCTGAAGCGTGTGCACACCATTTGCACATCAGTCTTCAAGGTTAACCAAATATGCTTAGCCCCACAAACCAAAAATATATTAATGTATATTATTTTCATGATGTCACCCCACATAGCCAACTTTTAACTCTGCAAAATAAAAAACTTAGTTGGACTGTTCATAAGAAATTTAAACCTGTTGTGCATGAAAAAATGCTTAATAAAATGGCAAATTTTAATAGATAAGTGTAATTTTATGAGTGCATAATATCAAACAGAAGAGAGCTGAACCATCCTCAGAGAAAGCAGGGCTCTTCCCTTGTAGATATTTACCAGGGTACTATAAGAGAAGGAATAATTGCAGTTCACAGTAACTGCTAAGTTTTTTGGTTTTTTTTGTTTTTGTTTTTTGTTTTTTTTTAAAAGAACTCAATTTCTAAGCCGATTCCTCAAAAAAAAAAAAAAAAAGGTAGGTCTCCTTTTCAAGTTGGGAAGTACTTAATAACAATGATCTGACATCAGACGTGACAGTTACAATACTAGCTTCACTGTGAATTGAAGCTACAAATGCTTTTTCCTCTAATTACGGAAACTTTCATTTGGTACTTGGAAACCCCAAAACAAGCTAATACACACATTCCACACCCCTCCCAGAAGATAGTATACCAGTGACAGGTTACAGCTTTAATAAACACAAGATGCTTTTACAATTTAAACTCAACAAAAAGGCAGTTAAACAGTATTTATCACCATAAACCCATCTTGAAGTAAAACAAAACATTAGGAGTAAGGACTCCTGGCTTTTTATGATATCACTGTACAGTGATATCCGATCTATATAGTTTTTTTTCATGGTGTTTGAAGGACCAGTCATCATGTATATAGAAGTGAGGTAGGATACTGTCCCCTCCCTGGGACTGATGTTTTCATATGCTCCCTTGCCAGAAAGGTCCAGGTTTCCCTACTGCAAATAAAATAATTACAAGCAAAGAGCATATAGAGCTTTGTATTTTTTTTTCTTTGCTGCATTAGAACATTTTGTGCATCTAAAATAATCATCTATGAAAAGCAATATTTATTCAAGCCTATCAGCAGACGTGCTGCCCACAGGTAGTGTTCCATTTAAACAACAACTCCTGGAACTACCACCTGCCATCCAGACCTTTGTGAACAGGCAGGCAAAGAAAACCATCAATGATGACAGGACATGAAACACCAAAGAATTTCACTTGGGAGAAGGAAAAAAAAAAAAAAAAACCACTACCCTAAAAGTCACTAATATCAACCTCCTAATGGTGTGGCTACATTGAAAAATGTAAATTCAACCTTCATCATACCACAATAGTACCTACTCATTTTAGGTTCAGCTCCATTATTCTTTCTATTTCTAAATGTTTAAGTAATACGTACACTTGTCAGTCATTATATACTTCACATCAGTTTTTAAAGAAAAAAATGAAACAATGAAAATGAAAACATAATACGGAAAAAAAAAATTGCCATCATTCTTCACACCCTCCCCCAGAAAAGCCAGGGATAACAGACTGCCTTATTGTTGAATGGCTTCCCCAAATTTTTCTTTTAACCACCGCAGTCAAACTGGTATTAAGTGCTTTGGCAAAGTGGGGTGCAATCCATCAAATCTGCAAAGGCCTGCTTTTTTCTCTGCTGGTGGTTCAGCTTTACGAGGAACATATATGCAAAATAACAGCTCTCACATTGCTTCAAACTCATCAATACGTTGTTTTGTATTGCCTTGTCGGATTTGTCGAAGAGTCTTGTACTTATCACGGCCTGCTTTAACATTCTCAGCATGAAGGACATCATTTTGTGTTTTCTTGGTTTCATCTCTGGCTTGAGCCAACTCAGAACTTAAAGCCTGTTGAATAAAATATTTGTATTTAAGTGTTTTGACTACTCTTTCTGCGATTCTGGAATTTCTGATAACATCTATTCTGCAATTTGGGTGGGGATTTCTTGAATGCCACCCTATGAAATGCTTTTTGTGCTGTTCAGTAACTCAAAAGACTCGGCTGTGCTAAAGCTGTGAGCGCCATCACAAAGCTCGCAAAGGGGAAGGAGGAGACCGTAGAATTCTTTCCTTCTAGAAGTGCTGACATCAAACTAAGAAAGGCCCCATATACCCTAATATACAAGAAGAGAGAGATCCAGCATGATAAAGCAGGAGAATGCTCATATTTCAATTTCTGCTCGACTAAAAAGACACTGCACTTATCTCCCTGCTTTTGTTCAGTGATTGGCAAAGCAGAAGAGAGAGATACACTACACATACACGCTACTAACATATTGCTGCCAAAAACGTAAGTGACATTCCATTTATTTCATTTCCTTCCCAAATACAGATTGCATAACACAGTAAAAGGCTACCACTAACATTAGATAATCACACTTTGCGTGGTAAGGCTCTCGATGGAAATAATCTGTTTCAAGGAAATAAGATTAATCCTAAATGGTATCTTTCCATTTTTGCATTCACAAAGCTGGCAAAGAACTACAAATAAACCCAAATACTATTAAACAATCATCTGTTTATACCGTACAATACATTTCAGCATTCAAAAAGGAAAGCATTATGTTTTAACATTCAATGTCCTGGACACTGCATAATTACCAGTAACGTTTACTGGCCAATATGCTGACATACTAATACCTTTCACTCTATAAAGCATAACCTAACATCCAACATTTTTATTTATTTTGTTTCTAGGACACCATGAATGATATCGGTTGGTAAATCAGTAATACACCTAGTAAGCGATAAGAAGGCTATTTCCTTGGCATACTATAATTTCACTGACAAAAAAAGAATGAAAATCTAAAGTCTTAATTATGTTGATAAAACTAAAAGCCTTCATTACCTGCAGCTGTTTCTTAACACGTTCATTTTTCTGTGTTTCTGTTACCCGTTCTTCCTCACTCCTGTGATTCATAACACCATCAGAAGACAGTTCTGCACTGGCTTCAGCACTGTTCTCATCATGTTCATCATGTTCATTCTCTGTTGGAGGAATAACTGGTGGGGGAGGAGGTGGAGGAGGAGCAGACATTACAGTTTTCAGTTCTTCTTTGGTCTTTTCCAAGTCCTCCTGGGCTGCAAAAGCCTAAATATAATACACAACACTCAGCATTTTAAAACTGATGCACAAATAATGAAAGAATTTGGAACAAATATTTGAGATGTTTTAGACACAAGGAAACTATCCTCTCTAAGTGAACCAGGATTAGCTTAGAAGCTGAGAACTGTCAAACAGAAATACAGGATAAAAGATCTATGAATGTAAGAACAGCTGTACCAGCTGTCCATCTAGTCCGGCTATTTCCAGCAGTAGCCAAGAATAACAAAAGAACACAGCAATCATATAGTGATTGTTCTTCAGCTTTTCTATCCTCTAGAGATTTGAGGCTCAGACTTCCCAAACCAAAGGTGATCTCTTTGAACTTAATATCCAACCAGGACTTTTTATATGATTTGTTCAATCATTTTTTGAACCTATGTAAATAATTAGTATTCATATCCCCTAGTTAACTACAATTTCTGTGAAGAAATGTCATTTTGCTTTAAGCGACCATGTCTAGTTGCATTTGATGTGCCTTAGTTCCTGTTTCTCTCTTCACCACCACTCACGATTTTATGCATCTTTATCATATCCCTCCTGAGGTGTTTATTTTCCAGCATGAAGCTCCAATCTATTTCATCACTGTAGGTACAGAAGCCATTTTAGATCTTTGACCACATCTTTGTGATGAGAATTTTTTCCTCCATGTCAACTTACAATTTAGAAACAAATTAAGAAGAAACATAGTTTGGCATTAGAAAACTGGGGGACTAAAACCTTTAAGAAAGGCATAAGGGAAGCATAAGGGAGTAAGATTCAAACCCATGGAATTCCACTGGGATTTCTGCACTCATCTCCCTTAGCTTCTTCAAAGTTTTGACTTCATATAACATTACTTTGTGCTGCCATTCTGAGGCTTCCTCTTCTTTCTTTTTCTTGGCCTCCTCTAGAAGTGCAATCTTGGCAGTGAATTCAGCAAGTTCTGCTGCCTGAAACAGAAAATGAAGTAGAAATTTTAATTTGATGCTATTTTGGCTCTGCAATGGAAGAGAGCAGAGCCTTCTGCTATGATCTGACTTAGAAAGAGCGAGTTATCATCTATCATTTCCACTTATTAAAAATAGAAATTTAAAATACGACAGATAGAGGGACAGAATTAGTACTCTGCCTGATGGGAGTAAGTCAAGAGGAAAATCTGTCTTCTGCGCTTCCAAAGCTTGCTGAGAAAAAAAAGGAGCTGCAGGTACAAATTAGCATTTGGGTCTGTTTCAACCTAATACCGCTTTAATAACTCCGCCAATATGCTGATGAGTCTGGACCATAATCTCAGTGCTGTAAAGACTAAATCTTGCCTTCAGCTTTGTCTATCATGCTGAGGCTGCAGAAGACCAAAAGCTGTTCTGCAGTCAAGAAATTCTCTCCTAGACAGTTATGGTGCCTTTCTCAGTTAGTACATGTAAGTCTTGAAATAGAATTGGTTTAGCACAGAATGTAAGAAAATACTGTATATATAGGAAATGGAGACGGGGGGGATGGGGAAATCATAGTAATAGTCACCAACTCTCCTCCCGCTTCCCCGCGATACACCTTCAAGCTTCAGAATGCAACTGCTTCAGAGAATAGGCTCATAGGTCATTCTTGTTCTCAACTGGACAAACCTGACACTATTAGTAAAAACTTAACAGGTGTGCTCAGCCTGAAATGTCTCCTTCATCATTAGTTTCCCACAGCTCTCCAGAGTTTTTTTTTTTTTTTCTTGCATGTAGTGGCAAATGTAATGCAGTTTTCTAATAAAGCGCCACAACAATCTAAAACATGGTAGGTCACATACTTGTGCTTGGGTTTCAACACACTTGTTCATTTGACAAAATAGATGTATCCAAACCCAAAAGCTATATTTTCACCTACATTTTTCAATTTTTTTTCAAAATAGGATTAAAACTTCTTACTAGTTGCTCCTGGTTCTTCATTTGATCAGCTGCCTGCTTGGCTAGAGCAGCTTTAGCTTCCTCAGCTGCTCGACGCTCCTTTTCCAGGCGCTCTGCTTCCTCCTTTGCACGTTTTCGTTCTTGATCCAGTTCTAGAGCTCTTCTAGTCTGTTCTTCTAGCTCTGCCCAAAGAAAAATTTGCCGACAAGGTATTACTCCCTAATTCCTACTCATACGTAACACAGAAATGACTACTACCACACGCTCAAAATAAAGCGATCAAGATTCACAAGACTGGCTCAAGTTAGCCCGACTTAAGCCAAGAAAAGCTCTTGAGCATGCGGCCTAAAGCTACAACCCTTTGGGTTTTCTTTCCTCCTCCTTCTAGAGGCATACTTTGGATACTCTTCATCTCACCTGGCAGTTGAATGATGGCCCAGTAGTTCAGAAAACGATCACCTCGCCCATAAAAGTTAAGTACATGAATATAAATATATACACATGCATATATATACACCCTCTCTTGATGTATATCAAATCTCTTTAGAAGTCGGTCATACTCTCTTATGGTAAAGAAGCCAAAAACTCCTATACTGTATTAAAGTGCCTGATAAAGATTCTTTAATTGCAACTGATTCTCCAGACATGTGCTTCTAGCAAAATGACCTAAGATCCACGGAAACGTTCAGAAACTTTCTGCAGAGAGCAGAGTTAACTTTCAAAGGGCACGAATAGGACAACTTGAAATCAAGGGAGGGATAAGAGTTGTCTAGCTGCCTGGTTAGCAAAATATTGTAATCCAGAGAACAGAAGTCAGATATGGGTGAAGCAGAAAAACAATAATCCACTAGTTCCATAATTTGTAGGTAAGATTTGCATACGCAAAATGCTCCTCTGATGTGCAAAAGGAAGCAACTATGACAACATCTTTCTGCAGCTCCCTCCTGGTTCTAATGTTCTTGTTTAGGTTTTCTGCCAGCTGTGCCTAGACAAAAACATACAACTGCAATTGCAATTGCAGTTGGATATTGCAATTATCCAACTGCCCTTCCCCATCAGTTTTAGCACTGAGAAAGCATCTCCCAGGTATGCTGACACATAGTTGATCTTGTAGTTTTAATTAGGTCTCACATTATGAATATTCATCATAATATACTAATTAACTTATAAAATTAAATGAAGTCGCACTGAAATGTCAACTTAGATATTTTTGCAAATACTACCCTGAAGTCACATTAGCTTTTAGTAGAACAGCAAAGCGTGACTCCAAATCTTATGCAACTCTGACTCTTGAAAGAAATTAGGCATAGTTTCTAGATTTGTCACACTTGCGATAGTCACATTATTTACCATACAGTATTTTGAAAATTTGATAGTCGATCTTTTTTTAAAAAAAATATTCCGTTATTACTGTTTAAATCCCTGTATCATCTTTACTAAATACAATCTTATAGAGATAGAACTCAGTGCCCAACTCAGCATTAACAAAAATATTTTTTCATTTTTCATTTTATGTGAAGGAGGAAAACAAAGTGAACCACTTTAAAATATCCATAAAATTTGTTGGACATCTTACTCAAACGGGTAAGATGTGCTATTAAACTACTAGCAATGTCTCTTGTAATCGCACAGAACAAGGGAACTTATTTCTGTTCACAAAATAAGGGCCAGTTAGCAAAACATACAAAGACACACCTGGGGAAGCAGAGTAAAACCCTAAGTGAGAAACAGAGTGCCCTTTGGATCAGATTTTGCCATTGTTCTCTGTCTTAACGTTACAGTGAACGGCTCATTCATTGTTTTTATACAGTCCTAAGTTGATTTAAGTGTCAGACTGAAAAACTGATTCTCTTGTTTACTAGCATTATTTTTGGCAATCCAAATTTGAAGACCAAAAGCAGGGGCACATCCTTACAGGTACGTGGGCTTACTTTACATATGCAGTACTTAATTTTATAAGTAAAATGCATAAATATTTAAAAATGCTATTCAAACAGGAAAAAAACCAAAAAGCCTTTCCCACAAAGATGAAGAACACTTAACTGTTACATCAACTACAGAGCACAGACACCATATATATATAAACACCTTTTTGTATGTGAAAAATAGAAAGCTACACCACAAGAAGATGTTATTTCATACTCTGTGTTAAAAATTAGACTATAAGAGTTACTGGAAGATAAACAAAATTGTTGGGAGTTGAGCATTTGTTTTCTGTCCATTTTGCTAATTTCTTTGATGGTTTTATATTTATTTTCTTTCCTTTAGAAAAGATTTCTTAAGAGTACATGCAGTATGTAACCTTACAAGAAATAGTAATAAATAAGTTTTCTATCATAAAGTAATTCATGCTGTACGAAAAGATACTTCACTATGAAACACAGATGCACTCAGAACAAGGTCAAAAAAGAACAAGCCACAGCTACTAGCTGTGTCGCCACAGAAAACTTAAGAACACTACCCTAAAATATAATTCTTGTTAATTTATCCCCAAATTTAATTTCTATGACATAGTTAACACTCATCTTGCTCCCTAATCTTTAGGGATGCATCAGTTGGAACACCATCACTAAATCAGAGTAGCTTTGGAGACCCAGCGTATTTTTAAGTTCCCTGAAAACTCTGCATATTCAGTTGCTTATACTTTCACAAAAAGGTTTGAGCTGACTTTTTTTGCTTTAGATTGCTTTTTGTTCATTTATTTAAATTCCTGCCCAAATAAGTAAGCTATTTCAAAACAGAAAACCTGTTCACCAGATTATTTAAAAAACCCAAAACACAACAACCCACAGAAGAAAAATGCTTTAACCTTTTCTCAGAGAAGCTCTAGCATACCCAAGATTTTAAGCAAGGGCTGGAATTTGCAGAGAAGTTTGTGTCAAGGAAGCGTGTCTTCCACTGTCTGAGAAAACATCGCCCAAGTTCAGTCAAATTACAACCGTATACGCATCTTTCAAAGACTCATGCGAGATCTGCTAGCAATTCACTGCTGCTTGCAGAAAACGTGCCTGTGTTTTGCCTGCCCTAACCCCGGTGAGGGGAAGCAGAGCCTCCTCAACACCCAACATGCACAGCTGCCTTGGGGCAAGGAGATGCAGGTATGTGATGGTTGAGGGAACCGCTCACGCTGGTCTTAATGGCTACTTCTATGGTACCACGTGAAGCAGCACCAGGAGACGCTCCCAAGCACTGGAGCTTCCCTGTCCACACCATTAAACCTCTAGAAGCACAACAGCACTGCTATGGCCTGGGCCAAACAGCTCTCCCTTACACAACTCCAAGGCTTGGGAGTTAGTTGTCTAGATGCGTTTCAACCTGTTGTTCATGGTAAGAACTGAAAGTAGAGCTAGAAATCTGTCCCAGGCATATGAAATTTATTAGCAAAAATATAGTCAACGATTCTCTTTGTTATGCCTGAAGCCAAGAATTATGAATAAAATAGAAGAACCGAACTTTCAAGAATGTGAACCAATACTCAAGTGAAAAAAGAACATGGACTGCATACAGCAGTGCAGGCTTGATAAGGTGGTCCAACACAGAAAGAGAACTGTGTTAAGGGAATAGACTGGAGCCCGTGGCCACATTTGACAAGTAAAATAAAGGGAAAGTGACTGGACAAGGAACTTGCAACAGAAAAGCTAAAGTCAAAAAAATCCTAAAAGTACTTTGAATCTTTCTCTCAAGCCCCAGGTTTTCAGCACTTCAAGGATTTCATAATAATGAGTTAAACTGCATACTCATTAATTTCTATTTTATTAAGGAAAATTAAAACTCTTGACATAACAGAATTTGTTAGAATACATATACGATCTTTTAACTCTTTTTTAAACACTAAAAAGAATAACGTTTTAAATTAAAAATAACAAAAAAAATGATTGCTGCATTTATGACTTAAGAAACCTCCCCGCTACCTCCCCTCACCCCAAAAAAGGAAAAAAAAATTGTGGAAGTGAACTACCCAAGTGAACAAAGCACAGCAGATACAACAACATCAGGAATAGTAAGAACTCACCTTTCTGAGCTTTCATTGTTTGTTCTTCAATTTGTCTTAAGCGTTCCATTAATTCTTCCTTTTCACGCTCTATTCTTTCCTTTTCCTTTTCTGCTATCTCCCTTTTTTTCTTTTCATTTTCTAATTGTGCCCTAAAAATAAAAAAAAAAGGATTAAATTCTGCTCTCTCAAGATTCTGCATTTCTTAGTTTACTCAGTTAATAGAGAAGCTAAATGTTTCAAATTCAGTTTACAATGCAAATTGAAGAATCAAGTTTCTATATTTAAAAATATTGTACAAAAAATTCTGAATGGGATTATAATAGACAAGCAGCCTTGGTTATGGTTCAACCAAGTCAAATCCACAACTATAGTTGCATTTCAGACAAGGCTGATGTTTTTATCTAGGCTAGAAAAAGCAACTGTATTTTTTTTAAATATACAAAAAGATAAGTTACGTTGTTCTTCATTGAACTTGTTTTAAATGTTCTCAAGCAGATTGTACAAGTTCTTAGGAGTCAGACAACAGAGAATTAAGACTATTTAACAAAAACACCTTAATGAGAAACAACCGTACAGGTATAATTACTAAAGCTGAAAGCTCAAAAAAGATACAGCTTTCTACTGAGACAATTCAGTCACGCCAGTCTACATACCTGCTTATGTATTACAGAAAGAAAAGTGAACTTCTCTTTTCTAGAATGCTGGAATGTCTGATATACTATGATTTAGTTTTCTTAAAGGGCAAAAGAATTTTTTTCTGTTTCATTAAAGTCTGTTATTTACCTTTCCAATTGTTTCTGATGTTTCTCCTCTCTAGCTTGGGCCTTCATCTGTTGCACTTCAATTGTATCAGGTTTTCTTCTCCTCATGTACAATTCATGATTTCCCATGCACAGTGCCAAAATTCGCTTATTTATTCTCAGACGGGGTGCATAAAAAACAAAATCCTAGCAAAAATAATTGCGGTATATCCATTATTTTAAAAATATAGTTGTGATAATACAAATACAAGCATTACTGCATGCTTGCATTTGTTAAATTTAATCTTACAAATATTTTAACCTTCTTCCTCTGACCATTCCAACACCACAAATACATAAATCCAGATACTGGAAAGAACTTGCAGAACAAATTCAAAATCACATCTGGATTCCTCTGTGTAGAGGTTAGCTATTTTGCACAAAGTAATTTACTTAAATTTCAAAAAAAAGCAAGACTATACTCCCCTCTATTACAGTTTATTCAGTTTGAGTGATTTGCCCCAGAAAGTCTCACGAAAGATGCTGCTGCAGTACAATCAAAAAAAAAAAAAAATAGCAGAAAAAAGTTTAACATATTACACCACAGCTTTTCAACTCACCACAAATATTAGTCGATTGTTTAAAAAAATATTAATAGTAAAAAAAGGAAGAAAACTTAACAGAGCATCAACCAGAATGAAAAGAGAAGTTGAACATACCACACTTCAAAATAAATATTTCCTTTTGAATACTGGTTACTCTAACAATATGAAAAATTAGTGGCATAAAATATTTACTCATGCCATAGTGCAATAGCAGATCCCTTCACGTTTAAAACTTTTCATACGCCGAGGCATGCTATTCTACTGACTACTTACAGGGGCCTTTTTGTCAATTGGCTTTATGACAAATTTTTTGTCATTAAAAGAGATGTTTCTTATTTCACTCCAAGGAAAACCAATCTTGGGTGTCAACCTTCAAAAAGAAAAAGTTCTTATTAGAAGAAGTAAAAATATGTGTATTTTAAGTCCAATAATCCATAAGTTATTAATTTTGTATTATTTTCCTTATGACACTTAAAGTTGCATTTACTAAGCTCGATAACAATTCAAGCATATTTTAGTAGGCAACTTTTTCACGTTATTACAGGCCCAGCAAACGAATAAGCTAAATACAACGACGGCAGCGCAAAAGGTGGCATTTAGAAATTTTAGTCTGTGACTTACCTTCTCTTTAAGCACATGCTAAACATCACACTCATGCACTGATTCTTTATAAGTGATTAATAATTATAACTTTAGTGAAAAGGATGGCTATTTCAATGAGCATATAATTTGAGAGAAGTCTGTCGTCTGAAAGACTGAAATTAAATTAGCCTTCAGTAATGCTGCAGTATGCTTCAACTCAGCTGTCAAATATGTATTCCTACATTCCTAAAGTTTTAATTAAATTTCATCCCCATTGCATTTTAAGCTGCATAAATTAAGATCACAAATAGTTACAATGTCATGGACCAACTGCATAATTGTAAGTATTTTTTTCCATAGGCCGAGCAAGTTTTTTCTATTTACATTGTCTTAAGTACAAGCATTAGAAAAAGTAGTTTAAGCATTTGATCGCTAAATATCAGGAACGAAAGCATACCAAAAAGCAGCAGTTCTTTCAGTCTGATTCTCTGAATATTTCCCTCCATCTCCTAGGAGTTATATTGCCATCTAATGGCAATTAAGGCTTACAGAATTTTGTTAGGGAGTATAAACATCAGTAGAGAACATGAAATTTCAGTTCAGTTAATAACAGTATCTGGTGCTTGACTCGTGCCTAACTTCAAATCACTGTGAAAGTACTGTTAACATCAAATACTATTAACAGAGATGTCCGGAAAGAAACAAAACAATGCTCTTCCGTTTTTATGATTCTTCAAATTTTGTATGTTTCAGGTTTATCACTCTTCAAGTAGGACAGATTCTTTGATCTCTTTACCAGGACACAAGAACCATCAATCTTCTCTGACGCCTAAAAGATTTAGTTTTCGGTTACCAAAGTTTTTCAGGCTCTAACAGCTATAATTCCAACTGCTGCTCTTAAAATGTGTTTCTCATTAAATATGTTGACCAGCTTCTTAATGTCCTTTTCAACCTAACTGAAGAGGAAGTCTTGAGGGAGTGAAAAGTAACCAAAAAAAAAAAAACAACCCACCACACAAGAAACGGTTTCACTATCAAACATCCATATTTAGCAATGCAAATTTAAATTCATACAGAACTGCTCTTCCATTCCCCTATTTTGCATCCCTATTTAACCTTTAAAAGTCAAATATTCTAGTAGTTAATTTCTATCACTTTTTCTGTCTTTTAAGCAGATTAGAAGCTCTTTGAGAACTTGTTTTGCTAGATGTTATAGGAACATGTAATAAAGTAGGTTTTGTATGAATCTTGGATAGAATCTCCTAGGACAGAATTTCAACAAAAATATTAGCCACTTACTTATCATCATGCTCATAAATATTCAGACCCAAAGCATCAACTCCTAGCCACAATTCAGTTCCTTTTTTATTCTTTATTTCAAAATAGTTGACTCCATACATTTCCAAGTCTTGTGCAATCTTAAGGTATTCCATCATAGAATCTTCCCTGATGAAAGAAAATAGCATAATTAAGTCAAATGAAAAGTAAATTGTATGAGTAAGGGAATCACAGAATAACTAATTGACACATAATCTAGTCAGGAATATAACATCTCTTCTTTGAAATTCATGTGTACATTGACTCAGAGACTTATATAGCTGATTATGTTAAGACCCAAGTTCAGTTCAATCATTACATTTTATCTTTTCACCCTGTGAGTTAAGCAAATATTTAATATATTTCAGAGGTAGGTGGGCAAATATGGAAATAGGCAGATGAGCTTGCCCAAAAATCATATAGGTAGCCAGTAACTGAATTGGAAACTCATCAACTGTCACCTCTGGTTTCACAGAAGATTGATAACTGTCTACCCTGGCCTGAATAAAAGAAGAAAACAGTTTCCAAACAAATATAACCCCTCCTCCACAAATTCCTAGTAAACCCAAAAAACTTAAAGATCATGGAACGTTTTCTACATAATTACCTTAACATCCCCCTGTGTTCTTCATGCCAGTTCTGTATTCTTTCTTCCCACTGCTCTTTCGTCAGCTTGTGCTGTTCTAACACACTGTGAACAGAAGTTACTAATAAGGGCAAGTGACAAGAAATTTAGTCTCCTGAAGTTATAAAAATAAGTTCGGTATATGACATGATATGCTTTAGTGGGAGAAATTTAAACACGACTTCCTATAAACTTATCATCTTTTTTAACCCAGACACGGTAAAACTTTGAATGTCAACAAATAAACATTTTAAAACAGTGTGAAACCATTACTATGGGTGTAAAATACCATGAAAAAGAATAGTAAAAGCCACACCATGCCATATCTCAACTTTCAGTAAAGTCATACAATGTAATGTTTGCAAACACCCCAAAATGGAGACCCATAAAGTCCTCATACAAAAATGTTGGAAATAAATCCCTCTGTATCTACAGATACACTAAAGTTCTAATTTTGCTGCAATTTGGAAGAAAATAAAACACACTAAGACAAGTTAGCAGACTATGCTCTCCCCCCCCCCCCCCCCCCCTTTTTTTTTAAATCAGTAATTAAGCAGCTAAGTAAAACTAGTTTGGGCCTTTCTTATATTGGGCTGCAATGACAGACATAGGTTTTGACCTATTTAGAACTGTAAACGTAGCACAGCAGTTAGAGAAGTCAGATGCATAAGATAACTTTATTATGCTTTTTTCCATGTATTTTCCATTTCAGACATTCCTAGAGAAACCATTTTAAACGGCACATACTCAAAGATAAGACTGCGTGAGGAAATTATACTGAAGAAATCAGCTCAGATGCGTTACCCTTCTTTCTCTTTCCTCGGGAGAAGGATTTACTACTTTCCCCCTTCAGTTCTAGCAATATGCAATTAGGGTTGAACTGACTGTGTGAGGCAGAAGAAATTAATGTGGTTTGCCTCTTCTATTACAAGTTCTTTCTCTCACTCACTCATTTTGCTATTATACCCCTCAACTAAGTAATTGCACCCTTTTCAATGGTAGGCACATAACATTTTGATTTGTCTTAGTCTATGTCCCTATCAGTAAGCTTTCCTCCTCAAAACAAAGCAGCAGAGGTTTTAGTTCTTGCAGTCGCACAAAGCTGAAGACATGTTCACAGTTAAACAATCCCAGAACATGCAATGACAAAAGAAAACCCCTTTTTCAGCTTATCTCTAGACCTAAATATAAATATAGTATCTAAATATAAGACTTGAAGAAACCTATTGCAGTACATACCAACTAGAACAGTGTGCTTTGGCTGTAATAAACTGTCTACAAGTATCCTGGCAACCATTTACAAACTCCTATTTCTGAAAAAAAAATTTTAATTAACTCCAAATTTTCTAGGATAACTATAATTTATTAACAAAAGTTCTGTAATTAAATTGGTCCTGTGAAAAAACACACAGACATTGCGAGTTGCTTTCCACCAATATTTCTTTCCCTTCCTTCAGCAGAACGCAGAATTCACAACCTTTAAAAGGCTTCATGTCAGCATTAGGTAAAGCTGAAAACCCAAGAAGAACAAAACAGAACACTGCAAAACACACAAACCCAGAATTATGTCACAGAAGTGCCGATCCGAAAATAAATACACCATCCCCAAGCTGTTCCTGGGCTTTCCAAACCAACTCAAATCTCTACTCCAATGGAAATTCTTCACATTTTCTTTTCTGTGAATTTTGCACAGCTGAGACAAAATTTTTTCATTGTGAGGGTGGTCGACACTAGAACAGGTTGCCCAGAGAAGCTGTAGAGTCTCCATCCTTGGAGATATTCAAAACCTGACTGGACAAGGCCCTGACCAATCTTGCTCTGAGCAGGGGGGTTGTACTGGACGGTCCCAGAGGTCCCTTCCAGCCTCAATCTGTGTTTCTATATTACCCTCAACCAAGCTGGTGAAATCTTTGGCAATAGCTGTCTCATCATTTGGTCCCCTTCATTTCCTCTTCACATGCTGTTCAAGAAATATCACTACTTGATATGCAAGAACTATTGCAACAGAAAAATGCAAAGATATAACTCCTTGCTGCTACTCAGTTCAGTTTTGAGCCAAGAAATCCGGAGTAGTGTTGACTGGTGAACATTAACACTATAATTAAAGGCAAGTGCAGATTCGTTCTCACCTTTTTAGTAAAATTTCACAAAGCTGTTCTACTTCTAGAAACAAGTAAGGATTTTTGAAACTAGATTGTTCTGAAGCGTTTCTGTGATGTACTTGCTAATTTTCTGGCAAATCTCCTCATGACAGGAGACTCCAAAGAAGAATTATTCTCCTTTAGGTTCGATGCAAACGGTATGTGCTCATGCAGTGCAGACTGGCACATGACTGGTTGAAGCATATGCTGGGAAATCATTTGAACTTTTGTCTACTGAAAAGGAGCACCTTAAGTTTTGAATTTGTGTCATAGACAAGCACTCCAGTGTTCACAGGCTGTTATCATAACAGAGCAAAGTTCCAGATTTGTGAATTAACACACGCAGTAATGACAAATTGTATTTAACTGGTTCTACATCTCATTGCCTTCCTAATAAAGGCTAGTTTTTTTTGGAGAGATGTACAGACTTCAAAGTCATAAGAGGGAAGTAAATAGTTAGCACTAGATTCCTACCATTTTTTTTTCTTTTGGATTTTCAGAAATAGTTCTCAAAACTTCAAAATCATTTGAAATGCTTTTTTGTGTGCTAAAAATTTCTCCAGATTAGTTACACTAACAATTAAGTTTCTACTTTTAGTTTTCTAACCAGAGGCATACAATTTTTAAAGAAACTTCAAATTATTCGATGGCTCTCACAGCTTTCAAGCTGACTGACGTTACAGATTTGGTAAGTACTCTCTTTTTTTTTTTTTTTTTAAAAAAAAAAAAAAAAGAGAGAGAGACCCACGCATGATACAACAGTATGGATTCAGCCTACACCAACAAAACTGACTGACTGCAGATGTTCACGTTGCAATGCTTCTCTTGCTGCCAAAACACGCCAGGAGCATGGTTTCAGTTATGTAAAGAAATCGAACTACAACCTTCGTCCTTACTTGTCCTAAGAACTTAAATAGGTGGCTGACAAAAAGCATATTCTCAACAGCAACCATTACAAATTATTTTCTAAGTTTTCCATTCTGTCTAGTATCTTTCTGCTACATATTTCATTTGCAGTACTTCTCATAACAGATTTCAGGAAGCTATTATCATTTACCCAAAGTGTAAGAAAATATCAAGAAGCAAAGAAAGAGAATGCGTATTTAAGGAAACTTACTGACTTGGAACATTTTGACTTTAATGCAACAGAGGCAACACTGCAGATATATTGGATCATTTTACATATTCTGTAATGCAAGACATGCATTCCTTTGAGAAAACTACTGTCAAATGCACGTCAGCACTTACTACTTCAATTACAAAAAGGGTGTTGCAATCAAGTTTATATATAGCAGATGATGCAAAAGCACACATAGTCTCACTCACCGTTGAGGGAGAAGTCTGTCATTGGCTAGGTAGCCTAATTTATGCATCTCTTTATTATAATCTCCATACTTGGACTGGACAGCATAGGAAGCCAGAAGAACCGCAGTTTCTGGTGGACAATATATTTCATCATTTAGGATAGCTTCTTTAACTTGCAGGAAGAAAAGTCTCTGAGTTATTTCCTGAATTAATTCCTCCGATACATCCTCTGGAAAAAACTTGGCCCTAAACTTAAACTGCAAAGGATTTTCTTTCCTTACATCTTGCTGGGTTACCTGAGGGAGAGTAATATAGAAATAAAAATTAAAAGGAGCACTAAATGGTATATTAAATATAGTTAGCTTAATACTAATAATCTCTTTAGCCCCTGTGCACTGAAATCCAAAGCTCCCTGAGAAGACCACTTTGAAACTGACTCCTGATTCACATGGCACTGAATCAAGAACACTAATTTAGATAAGTCAGACAATTTTGAAATAGGACTCAAAGACCTACTTAAGTCTCTGTAGGCTTGTGTGAATTTGTATTTATCACAGTGAAATCTGGAAAAAAGAAGTTGTGAAACAAACAAAGCTATAATCAAGGATGAATTCCAAGTAGTAAAAGATTAGGGATTTAAAAAGGTTTCTTCAGCAAGAACTATTTCTTTTAACTCAGCTGGAAAGTTGTAATCTTTGTAAAGTCTTTGAACTATTGCACTAAATACATGTGCTTAGTTCCTATGCTGAAAAGTGTACTTAATTCTAGCAAGCACATTATTTTTCTATAATGGATAAGCATTATCATCATGATTTCTGTGTAAATTTTCTGAGACATAATGTGGTAATTCTGCAAGTTTTAAACAGCTGTCTACTTAGACTTTCAACAAAAGTTTATTTTACTTGGGCTCAACTTTCAGCCCTGATTATGTCTGTGAGCAAAAACATTCAAAAATTAAAATCATTTTAACATAAAATAGAGTGATTGGCAGAAGGTACATTCAGGATCAAAAAAAAAGCAACAAAAACAAAAATATTCACATTCATAAACCCCAATTCCAGAAGCACTTTCACATACAGTTTTGATTTTATGTGCGTGAGCAGTCTCTCTAGAACTTGAAGTGCTGCATGAAGTCATGCATCCGTTTGCTTGACTGGTAAGAAATATCAAAATGCAACCCTTAATCACGTACCCAGGGCGGCATGATTACTATATTCAATACTTCCAGTATGAATTAAAAAAAATTATTTGTTCACTTTCATTATTGTCCACCTGCTTCCAACTTACATTCACTTGAACCTCACTAGTGAATCAGTGATACGGTTCAAATAGGATCTTCTCTTTTTGGGAATAAATGATGATTTGTATTCTTGCCATAATAAAGCCATATTATCCGTATCTACTCCATGATTTTATCAACCTTATCTGTATTTGATGTAAATGTTTAAATAATAACGTACAAGCTAAACCTAATTTATGTTGCTTTCTCCATTTAAGAACCATTGTTACCTTATAAGCTTTTTCTAAATAAATAAAAATTCTTTGGTATCAGGAATTGCCTTAATTAAAGGTAAAGAAATCAGCATATGCTTGCTGGTCCTCAACTCTATAAGCATCTTAATTTGCTAAAGACTTTATAGGCCAACTTTAACGTATTTCTGCCAAACAGAAATATCCTGTATCCTTCAATCACAGCTAACAAAAGATTTGCAAGCATTGAAGTGATCATGGCAGATGAAAGAGACACCCAGATGTGGAATTCCAGGACACAGCTTTGGTCATTAGCAGGTTAAACTTATAGGACTTACCATTAAGGAGAAGAAAAGGTTATGCAAGTGTACATGGTGGAACTTGCTCCTAAAAAGCTCCTAATTTATCTACTAAAATTGAGGTCTAAAATATATTCTTGATTAAGCTCTAAATCAAAAATTCCCTTTATTCCAAAACTGTCATTAATTATAACCCAGGAGCCAATTAAAGAAAAAAAAAAAAGAGAGATAAATCAAATTGATAGATAGAATTTAGAGTAAAATGATCTGGTTCCCAACAGGTGGGTGACACTACTTAAACAGTGCTGTTGAAAAAATAAATGGAAATTTAGGAGTCCTACAAACTAGCTATTAGATACCTAAACAAAAGTTTGGGATCCTATTTATAGATGCCTTGTTCAAAAATCTATAGTTATATACAGGCAAATTCCTGAACCTCTATTAACACTTTTTTTTCCTTAATTGAAGCTCTTTTACTCTATTATATTTTACTATGTGAAAACAGGATCATATGAATTGAAGTTTTCCTAATGCACGCACAATCACAATACCGGAAATACAGAACCTGTATCTCTTTCTCAGTCAAATTAAATGTAGATGCAACTTCGTAATACGATTATGCTCCTTTACAGCTAACCAAGCTACAGACTGCATCTTGTCATTTGAAGCAGACAATAAGCAGCAACTTTTCAAATGAATTTGAAATCAGACATACCTCACCCTATAACATTAACGTAGCGAACCTTATGTATTTTAAATCCTACGCTTGTCTAAATGTAAGGGAATCGTTACCTTTTTATTTAGCTTTAGCCAAGTTGAGTAGCCTTTGCTGTCCACATACTGCAGCCCAAAAAACCAGACTTCACGGAGACCAACAGTTTTCACCACCTAAAAATAAATGATCCACAGTTATCTGTAATCACTACAATAGAATCTTTTCTAATAGTTAAGTTACATAAACCATCTCAAACTGAAATAAGAATAATGTTTCAGAACCAAAAAAATATAAATTAGTAACACAACATCAGGTCCAGGGAAGAATTCACCTAAAAGTTCTAAAACAAAAACAAAAACAAAAAAAACTCAAACACAATGTTGCCAAACTTTCAATTGGAGTGTGCAACTTGCTATATAAATCAAACTCAGCTCCTGAGGAATACAACGTAACAAGCAGATGCTGATTTTTAAAATTAGGTCTAGGAACTGTTTGAAGACCTACAGACAAGCAAGTCCGCTTTAACAAAACCGGTAAAGCTGTAATGAAGGATAATATTTGTGGACTTGCGGATAACTCTGTTGTAACAAGAAAGAATCCCCTCCTTCAAATATTTTAGAGTTCTTCTAAGAGCTAATGATAAAAGGGATAAGGATGATCCAGCTGATAAATATTACAAGGATTTCCTACAGAATTACTGGTCAGGTCTATCATCAAAGGCTTTTAACAAAACATAACTGTCTTTGAATAGAGGGAGAGTCTTTTTATGGATTAAACCAGTTAAAAAGGCAAGAAAATAGGAACAAACAGTTCTAAAAACAGAGTGGTTAGCTGTAGTGTAACCACTAGGGAAATCCCACAGGACTTTGTAAATGGTCTGGAAAAAAGGATGAAACTGATTTGACAAAACCTGCTGTAGAAAACCTTTCAGAAAGGTCTCTGAATGAAAAATAAGCAGGAAGATGAGCTTCAATATAAGATGAAATTTACTAAAACAAAATACTACAGTTAAAAGAAAAAAAATCTTAAGTAAATAGAAAGATCTTGTAGTAGAACTAAAATGTAACAATGCTCTTGTACTACTGTATAAACCTATGGTATTCCCAGGTCTCTAATACTACAAACAGAGTGGCCATATCGCCTTAAAAGGATGCTGTAGCACTGGAAGCAGTTCAGAAACGTTGAAAAGAACGATCAGCGATACAGAACATCTTCTGCATAAAGACCAGAACTAAGGCAACTGTCAGAAATGAAGAAGGGGAAAACATGATACCCATCTATAAAACCTGCATGTCACGTTGAAGGAAAATAGAGAATTATTATTCATTATTTCTCATAATGTAAGTATTAAGAGAATCAATTGAAATCGTTAGACAGCAAGTTCAAAACAAAGAAGCATTTTTACTACACGGAGTAAAATGAAACTGTTGAACTATCTTACAAGACTTTTGAGTAGTAAAAGTATAACTAGATTCAAAAAGCAACTAATCAGAAAGGTCCAATGAGGATTATTAAATAATTGCAAATTTTGGCTCTGAAAGGTCCAGTATGGCAGTACGTTACATATGCGCGCAGGTTGAACCACGCTGGTAAGCTGTTTTATGGAAGCATTCAGGTGCATGTGAGGTAAACAGAATTTTACACATAGATCCTCCTCCACTTTAAAGTAGTACTACTGGGTTGCAAAATTAAGATTTTGAAAATTAGAAATGTCACAATTAAGAAAGCTCTGCAAACTTATTTCTACTCCCTTGCATATGTGTATCACGTCTTAACAATCACACTGGCACACCTTTTTCTCCTCCTCTCCCTTTTCACTTACGCTTCGGTAGCTGATTCTGAGAATGCCCTTCACTTTGTGGTTGTACAAGTTGTGCCACGATACTTAACTAGCCCTCCAAGCTGCAGCTGAAGTCAGTAAGAACTGCACATGCTCAACTGCTCTGTCCATAACGTGCAACTTGAAATAAAGGAGACAACCCTCACATTTTTCCTGAATGGGAACTACACCAAACCAGGAATTCTGATGCTCAGTGCTTTTCCTTGTCAAAAAACAAACAAAAACCCCCAAACTGTGGTAAGGTACCCATCACAGGATTCCTTCCCTCCTAGGAAAGAGTTATAGATGAGACACTGGCTGACTAAAAGAGCGTAGATCCCCTCTCACACATTCCAATCACCACCAGGATGGACCGAGGGGACTAATGACAAATATGTTAAGACACTCTCTAAAATAATAGGAGTCATTAAAAAAATATGGTTTTGCACAATAAACAAGAACTTTACCAAGTTCCACAATGGAAGAGGAAAAGCCACAGATATCCAAAATATGTCTTGTCTACTAGCAGATGAAGAGGATGAAAATACACTCTCACCAGGAAACGAATCAACTTCAGAAAGTATCGACTGAAACTACTGACTGAGAAAAGGAAGACTTGTTCACAAAACAGTAGAGAAACACTAGACAACAGCTAAAACAATGGATAGGCTATTCCCTGCAAGTAACAGCTAACACGGTTACTCTCATGTCCATCATTTCTGCACTAACCTTGAAGACCAATCAACTCAGTAACAGTGCTATTCAACTTTCTTACCATAGAGAACTAGCATAACTTTTATCTGAAAATTTCATGCTGGTTTTGCAATACAGTTCAACTCTTAATGTTACTCTGTGGAATTCACCTATACAAACTTAAGGTCAGGCTGAAAAGGCTTCTCCCCTCATGCACAACAATGCTGGCTGATTTTGTTTGACCTAATTTTTCAATTTAAACCTTCAGAAGTTGATTACAAGAGCTGCTGAGATGTCAAAAGCCACAAAGCGAATTGAGGAACATAGGTGAAAAGAGCATGAAATATGCCAGGATAGAAAAAGAATTCACAACTGTATCTTTATTTCCCGTTTGTGAAAGCCCCAGTTTGGGTGAAACCGATTACTTGGGCGCAAGACATTACACAGCAGATCGTCACCCCACCCAAGACTGCATGGCTAAAGATAGCCAAGGTTGGCAAGAGAGAAGTAACAGCTCGAGGCTCTGGTGCCACAGAATACCACGCTTTTTACCTGATGGTGCCATTGGTTAGACAAAAAGCAGGATAGCTGCTCTGGTCCCCAAAACTGTCCACATTACTACACTTGAAAGCTATCTGCTCCCCTTTCTTCAAGGAGTCTTCATAATAGTCATGAAGTATCAACACATCACTATGCATCCACTTGTAAGTGACAGCCTCTACTCCTATGTAGAGGCTGAAGACATACTGCTACTGATGGGGGGGGGGGTGTATAAATCGGACAGTCATTTCCAAATTTGGTAATGAGATTTATTTCCTCTAAAAGAAAAAGCTCAGTGTTACAACAAAAAATAAGGAAACAAATTATCTCCCTTTCAGCTTACATACTAACAACACTTAACTGACCCATTAAAGTATCTTTAAGTGTGTCATCTTCCTTAAATATTCAGCATTACACGCTTTGAGCGTCTACAGTGGAGCGGACAGAAAGGACAGTTCTACGAGAAAGAATCACGGATGATATGATTAAACTGTTTTGGAAGAGTAATTTGGAAGACTTCCACATTTTTAACTAAACACATGCATTTAAGACCTATTACCTGAAGAAAAAAGAAATGAAAATGTAAAGGGTGAAGGCTTGTCAGTGTGTCTAGAACATTGCATAACCTGGATCACATAAAATTATTTAAAGATTCTGATTGCTAATATCACACGTAAAAGATTGTTTTCCTATTAATTCTAAGAAAGTACTCATTTAGTCCATTTAAGTGAAGTAAGATGAAGCCACCACCAAGTGGGAACGTATGGCTCTGATGGGTCTGCAACCCATAAGCACATTAAAATCCATAATTTTCACTTTTCCCCTCTAGAATTAAAAAGAAAAAAAATCCTAGGACAACATTACTTTTCAAACATTTAGGAAGAGAAGTATTATCTGCAGCTTCCATTCTTGGATGAAGATGACAGTAGCTCTCTTTACTGAATTTTCTGCCTTACATTCACTATTTGACAATACTGAAGGCTATGGGAATTTCTCATATATGCACTTCTCACAGTTATATTGCAGTTTTAAGTAAGCTGTGATTAGACATTAAAAAATACCATTACTTTCAAAGCAGTTCCACACGATTCAACTGAAATCTCACTGCTCGTCTTTCTACATAGAGCTGTCATTGAATTTAATACATTCCATTAGAATTAATGGTGAAGCTCAAACGAAATGACAGCATATTCAGATAACGTAATAGAAACCATGGAAATCTAGATATGAGAACACTTCTACTTTAGCAAACTATGCCTTAATGCCTGTAAGAGTTTTGTGTGTATGTATACATATGTGTATATGTATACAAGTGTGTGTATATATAAAAACTGTATCACACACATGCACGCACATTACCTGATCAAAGAGCTGCTTGCCTGTTGTATTGGGCTGGATGGCAAATTCCAACTCTGCATCCATTGTGGTAACTCTCACATTGATCTACAGAAAATAAAGAACTATTTAGATCATACTTTAACAGTGTAATTATTTCATATACTGTGATTATCTTGCAAGAAACAATATGTGATAGGTAACTTCAACAATTGCGATGGTCTCGTGCGCGTACAGAAGACAAAAAAGGAAAACGTGAATCTGTAATACTCCTAAATAGGAGTATAAAAGCATATTCAGCATAACATTTAACATTAGTTTTGAAAGTCAAGCCATGAAATAAAGCTTAGAATTGATTTAATGGGATGGCTAACACGACTACTACTGAAGACTCAAAGAACATTGAGGCATTCAGCTACTGGGCACTACCTTTAGGTGTGCTTCTCAAACCCGTGTAAAAGGAAAGTTTAAGTCACATAACATTATTGGTATTTATACCTGACAGTACAAAAAAAAAAAAAAAAAAAGGCAAGCAGCCTGCTGCCCTGGCATTTCTAAGATTTAGACGTCCAGATCTCTTGAAGGAAATGGGACAGAGCTTATAGATCTTAGGACAGACTAATAGCAGATTTTCACCTTTGGAAGGAGAGACTACAGAAGTTAACTCCATTTATACTGATCTCATTCACTTCCTTTACTACAAGGCTGGAAAATACAGCTGTCGTTCAACGAACTTACCCACTCTTGTGAAATAAAGAATCATTTTCCAGATGATTCTCAACAGGCATGCTTTCTATTTGTTCCAAAACAAGTGGTCAGATGCTCCAGGTGGTATCTGAAGGCCTTACCTAACTGTTCCAATAATTCTTCAATTGGTACACACAGAAGTGAGAATTGTGATGAGAGAACCAAATACTAAATACATAACACTGTCTTCTCGCTTCTAGAATGGTTTTCTATTCCTATAGCCAGGGTATCACATTTTATTTAATCTTTAGTGAATAGGAGCATAAAGTGTTAAACCTCAAATTTACTTTGCGGTAAATGGATAATCAGAAATATGAATTAACCAAATTTAAATCATACGCAGATACATTCTGAGTTCTTTGTGTACCATGAAATATGGAAAAGGAATAAATTAGGACTTGGAAAAGGAATAAATTAGGGCTTGGATTAAAAGCACTTCTACCACTTCACCTGCTTCTGTATAAACCACTTCCACGATTTCTCTAATTTTTCTACTTGGTAGAACACTTTGATAAGCAAGCCTGGAAGTCTCAGTAACACAGAAGACAGATCAAAGGTGTGAAAGAGAAAACTGGATGAAACTTTGTCCCTGTATAACACTTAAAGCTTGTTCACTCCTTTCTTTAGTGTCAAGGTAAACAACTTTGGGCATGAGCTGGATACATGAGACAAAAGTAGCAGGAGCTGGAGGACCTCTAGGTTATAGACCTGCAAACAAGGACGAGGGGGGTTTAGCAAACAGTTTTTGTGTGCAAATGTGTGTGTGCAAATACTGATAAAAAATGAGAGTTGAAGGCTTTGGAGAAAAAAATAGTGAACTTTTATTGCCAAAAAAAATGTAAAGGGTATATGTCAGCGGGGGGGGGGAAGAGCTGTTTTCCTTAGATTCTCCCCTTTCCAGGGAGAAAATTGCTTATTCTCTAATGCAACAACTCATTTAAAATAGTAAGTCTAACTCACTCACTGAGAGTTGGACTGGTTTAGAGGATAGCTGCCCTCTAATTACAAATTTTTAAGCAGTTTTTCAATATTGAATTTTAAAAATAAAGTCTGCTTTACAACAGCTACAGATAAGTTAAAAGGAATAAAGCTAAAACGTAACTTTAATAAAGGCCAACGCACTATTATATAACAGTAGCATTGCCAAAACACACCAAGTGCCACAGAAGCACTACAAAGCACAGCAAGTTAAACTAATAGCAACAGACTTTTTAAAGTTGCAGCAAAGATTTTATGTAGAAAATCTCATTTCAAATGTTATCTTCTAGAAATGGACAAAGAATTAAAATACTCAAATGAATAATAAAACAATAGATGTACTATGGAGGCAAAACTAAACACAATCCGTAAGTTTTGTAAGCTTCTGAACCTTACCAGTTCAAATACAGGCAGAGTGCTACATTAACAGCTACAACTGGAACACATACAAATACACATTAGGAGTACCTGCTAACTTACATTCATTACAGTAACTGCTAAAGATCCAGCTATTTTCTTTTCCTTTGAACTTCTGAAAACGTAAATGCTAATTAGTAGTGGGGTGTTTATTAACCAGTTCTACTAAGAAAGTCTCAAATAAAGGGATAATATTAACCTATTACCCTTTATGATATGACTTTTTAAAAAGACTCAAAAAGGTAACACCGCTCTTGATTAAAGGATATCATTTTCTTCCTGAACATATTTGGACAGATTTAGATTCTGGCATACAAATACTGAGCTTTTATAGCTTTATAACATATTGTTACAAAGCTTCAGTTATTTCTGCGCATGGAAAATAAGAAAGTTACTTTTGACAGAACCTGGGATTGAACCCAGAAGGTTTACTTATCTAACCCACATCTGGCTCACACAGCTCTCAATCAAACCTATGTTCTCCGTTACATTGTCTGAAAAATAAAGCTAACAACGTGCTTTAAGGAAAGTAATGGGGGATGCACAGACTTGTCTAGAAAACAGTCACACAAGAAGCTCCCACACAGTAAGGAAGGCAGGGAATTGAGAAAGTGCAGGAATAGAAAGACAGCTCACCATGGCAATGGATTAAAACTGGTGTAATCTGCTGCAGGGCATCCAGCTACTTTGAAACAACACTCCTAATACAGTAGTGGTGGCAGGGGGAAATCATTTGAACCACAAATTATGAAGACAGACACTAATCTGGACCTACTTGCTCTGACCCAACTTTACCACATAAACAAGGAAACAGGAAGGATCTCTTACAATGGTGGCAAAACAAATGTTTCCTCTAGCAAATATTCAAAAGACTACCACCACTCATACCACAAGACTTATATTACGTCAACTTTTCAATCTTGCTCTCACCAGGACTCCACTTCTTCCTTCAGTCTTCAGAAGTTACCACAAAACACTAAATAAGACTTAGTCAACTACTGCAGCTCCTCAGCTGCTTGACAAATCCAGCTCAGCTGCACACAGGCTCAGGATTAGAGCTGCAACAAGTCTCATTTGGTACATTCATGCCTAACTTTGATCTCAGAGTGGATGCTTTCTAAGGAACCTACTCTGGTAAGCTTATCAGCTCTCTAGAAGGCTCTACAAATTCATGAGTACGTCTGAGCAAATACTGATTTTTTAAAGGTTAAAACCTGACTATATCCACACGTTATTTTTGGTTCCACAATCTAAACGTTTATTGTATTTTTTACTGAACTAGAGATCAGTGTCATGGTAATCGTGGCTGGGGAATACTTAAAAATGCTACAGGTTTAGAAAGTGGTCAACTTTCACCTTGCCAGAGGATTCACAACGACAACATGGTGAGAAATCCCCTTCTCCATCACAGATCAGGCAATGACATACTTGAATCACAGCTCAGCAACGGCAGACAGAATTGGGACATGACAATACAAAAACTTCTAGACCAGCCCTTGCATCTCTACCATAGCACATTGTTGACTCGGGTCCCTACAAAGTACAGAGTAAAGAAAACGTCAGTGCTGTCAGCCGTGCAGCTATACTCAGTTTTAGCGCAAGGATAAGAGAGCATCTCAACTCTCACTTTAAACATACAGGTAGACAAGATTTATCTTCATCACGTAGAGTTAGGGCGAGAACTGCAGTCTCACGCTCGAGAAAGGGTGGCACAAAAAAAAACCAAGCCAAACCAAATGAAAGGCCAACACACACCAACCCATAGGCAATATGTCAGTCTCTTTCAGGGCTTGTCTCTTTTTGGCAGAATTATATCCCAGATGTAGTGCCTCTATGTAATTACATGTTAAAGTATACAAACAAAGGATTTAGAAAAGTACAGGCTGCATGAAAAAGGCAGATGAAAAAGGCTGACGGGTGAATAAATTAGTCATTTTACAGAATTTTTAAAAATTCTAAGTTCTAACAGGAAGAAAATCCTTAGTATTATACCTTTTCTTCGGCTAGCTACTTTTAAGAGTCCATTCTGTAAACAAGGACACCGTAAGAACGTATAAAGTATACAGTGAAGTTTAATACAGCATAAAGTCTACTGGACATTTAGGAACATGATCTGGCAAAGCCCTATGTTAGAGCACTAAATCTATGTTTAGAGCATCAACACCTAGCTCATGGTTTTTAAAGTAACCAATTAGCTTGGCTCATTTGCTTATCCTTAACAGTAACACTATATAAATAAGGGACCAGGGACAAGAACCTCTCACACAAACACATACACACAGAATCACAAGAATTTTTGTGAAGAACTGCTAAAGCAAGTATAGTTTTGTCTTATTCTGACAAAACTCCTTTATCCTGATTTCTGGATACATTTTTTAAAATCTGTTTATAATAAACTTCTCCCAAATAACAGTGCTTTACTTTCAAATGCATTAAACCCTTGCATCCTGACAGTCACGTTTTGCCTCTTAGCATCCGAAACTGTGGTCTTGAGCTTATCTTTGCCTGCCCAGCTTGCTTGAGAATGATTATACACCGTAAAGCAGAAGGGGAGAATGTGTGTATACATATATGCTGATTATTCTTTGTGAAGGAAGCAACTTTTTTCATAATAGAGACTGATGATGGGATATGATGAGGTTTGCCACAGCTCACAAAACATTTAATTCAAATATTTTTAAAAAGCAATCCATCTAAGCAATTTATCTACATAAGAATTTATCAAAAGCAATAAAGAGCAAGGCAGAGCAGGTTGATTAACATACCTGGAACAGTAACTTCCATACGCACATATTAAAACATACATTTATATGGCAATTATATTTTTGTTGTACATTTTCAGTTCTTTAGGGACTTCAACAATATTTCTACGCTTCCTTGCGGTCTCTAACTTCAGCATTGCACAACTTAATGGGACATCATACATTCATCACATTAACTTTTGGACCTCACTTCAGTCTTAGATATGTTCCTTAGAATACACACAAAAACTGATTGCTTAACTTAATAGCCCAATATTAAAGATCTTCATCCTACTAAAGAGAAATAAGTACCTGTAGTTTAGCCATTATTTGCAGAGATTAATTGTGGCACTTCAGTTTTCATTAGGAAGCCCAAAACTCAGTCGGTATCAATAGTTAGGGAAAAAAAAATTAAATCACCTGAAAGAGGGTTTCAGCAGTTTTGCTTTGTTTTAATAAATGCAGTGTTAATTACTCAGTTGTAAAAGCCACAGGAACTGCTCCAACTCTAACTACAATTAAACTGCATATAGCAAAAAAGTTTCTTCAAAGAGCTTCTTCACACTAGTACAGCTGATTACTGCCTATATCACGTTTGCATATTAAACTATTTGTGTTAAGGAGTAGCAGTATATTGTCTCACTGCTCTACACACTGGACAAATATGCACAGTATATTTGTGCACCAACATCAGAGCAGACAAGTACTCTGCACCAACATCAGAGCAGACACGTGAAAAGATGCAAGAAAAAAAAATTAACAAGATATGATAAAAAGGTAAGGATTAAACAGCATTAGGAACAAAAGGCTACAGAATTAACAGCATATACATGTTGCTAGTAGTCAAGTCAAAAGAAAATAGTCCTCAAAACTGTTATCAGTTTTCCATTTATACTGCAGAAATAAATCATGTATTCAAACTGTAATTCAAATATTGCACTATATATTTCAAAGATTTCCCTGTAAAACAATAACATTCCAGTAAAAATGAATTTATAGTGTATACAATTTTCATTTCATTTTCACTACTTTACAGAAGTTAATTTTGTAAATAGTAATTTAAATTTTTAATGTCCATATTGTTTTACAATCTAATATCTACCCCTTCAGTATACATAATATCCTAAAGAAACACTAAAGAAGTCAGCAAAGATTCTTTTTAAACCTCAGTAACTTTGACATTTAGCTGTGTTGCTACCTAGCGTAACGTATTCTCTTTCATGCCTCTGAGTATGGTACAAAAATGCCCCAAACTATCAAGAAAAACAGCTGATAATTTTAACTCCTTTTACACCCCATAAATACAACTAATATTTCAGTCAATTAAACCTAATCTTCTTAGCCTATGAAATGATTAACAGTTATGTAACTAATGATGTCTAATTTTAGCCTTCATGTTTCTATTTTTGGAGATGATCTGGGAGAACAGCATACATCTGAGAAACATTTTGTATCAGTTCGTTTAGGAACAAAGCACTGAAAATAAGACTCACCAAATATTCGATTCTTCAATAAGCAGTGAACTAAGCACTTCAAACAATCCTACCTATTAGTAGACCCAGTTTTGATTACAGCAATGAAGACCTAATTAAACAGTGAACCTTTCACTTTTTTTTTTTTTTTTAAAGAGAAATCACAACAGAAGCTAAATGAAACTTAATTTTGCACTGCCAGGCAGAACTGAGAATAGTAAAGTCTCAAAATTATTTTGTTTTAGAAGCAGGGGAGATACTGAATGAACTGCTCAAGAATGGAAAGTCATTTTGTTCCTAATAGAGCCAAAACAGACTTTTCTACTGAAGCAATCAAACCAGAAGTTGCTTCAATAATAGATTTTGACATGTTTATTATTACATTAATGTCTCAGAACAATATATTAAAAACACCTTGACCCTTTTCATAACAGCCTCATCACTGAAGCTGTGTGACCAAATAGCCTGTAAGAGACAAAATCCCAAACACTTACGTAAGAACAATGAACTTTTACTACCACTCATAAGAAGATCATTCGTAGTACCACAAACTTTACTTCAGAAGGAAACGTGAAACATCTTTACTTTAAAATTCAACTACGGTAAGATCCCTTACAGTCTCTACTTAGTTTTGTCTGGAAGACTACACAAATTTTCAAAGCAAAAAAAGTGAAACTAAAATCTATTCCACTGATATTCCTGTGATTTAGTGTCAGTTTTAACCAACTGAACACTTCATTATTTGTTATGCATATCAAAATAAAGCTTTATTCTAAAATGCGGAGACATTACTTACAGTTACACTGCTCAGGTTCACATATTTAACAGAACAGCAGATTTTCCAAAAACCATCAATAGGATCATTTCAACCAGATTTGGAAAAAAAAAAACTCAAAATACTTATATAGGTCACAGTAATACAGGGGAAGAGAGAGATAAAACAACTGCCAAAATTATCAACAATTACGCTAATTGAGTTGTCTCAGTTATATATGATACAACTGCATATTCCTGATTCTCTAGCTAGTTTTCAGGTTAAAAAAAAAAATCTCCAAAAATAAAACTATAGAACACAGACTGCTTTATTGCACAGCTGTCAAAAAATCAAGAACAAAGAGTTGAAATGCAAACAGTTTTTGGACCAGAAGTACATTTGGCTCTTACCGAGCCATTTGGCTCTTGTCTTTAAAGGCAATCGGTAAGAGCCGAAACGAGTGTCCAGAGCAAGAAGCTTCCTATGGCCCCGTGCTACCAAACCCTAGCAGAGCAGCCAGACTCAAAGAACACTATCAGATTCATTAAACACAAGCAATGACTAGGCTCCAACTGCCATATCAAAAAAAAAAAAAAAAAAATTGGGAAAAGCTTCAAAGCAGTCTACCATTTAAGCAGCAACCAGAGCAAAATCTGATTTTGATTTCCCAAGTTAATGAAAGCTACTACTTCATTCACTGATTACAAATAATAGCTACAACAATATGGAGTTTACAGGGAAAAAAATGCATATGACATTTTCCAGAAAAAAGCCAATTTAATTCCATTTCTTAATGGCTCCTTTCACCTGGTTTTATTCTGAATCTCACATGTCCCTGGGTCATCAGGAAGAAAATCCCAATCTATGAAAACTCTTATATAAGAAGCCTCTCACAAAAGAAACAACATTCTCTAACCTTTGGCATGAGTTCAGCTTCTTTCCTGAGATCTGGTAGCTAATTTCCATTCCTAGGGTAGATTGTGACCACCTCCAACACTTTCTGCAATCTCAATTCTAAGGATATCCCTTCTCTTCTGAGCCATTCTAGAACTACATTTTCTACCATTCTCTCAGGTGCCTAAAGTAGAGGGAACCCTGCCTACCTAAGCTTTCAAGCTTCTGACCCCACAGTCTAAGAAGAGGTAGCCTCAGGCTTCCTTCTCTTTTAGGGATTACTTCTGTGGCCTCGTTAGTCTGCACATGCAGGGGAGTTTTAGGGGCCTCAGAACTACATGGCCTCCCAGTGACTTTCCTCCTTAGTCTTAAAATACAGTTTTCCAGTTGGAAAACTCTAAAGCACTGCTCAACATAGCCAGCACTCGAAAAGGTCGGAAAACAGCATGCTGCTAATTAATTTCCCTACCTTTAAGGGTCCAGCTTTCTGTAGGAAGGGGTCAGTGACATGAATAACTTGTTCTAATTTCACAAAGTGCTACTCTATTGCCCCTGCTCAGGAAGGGGGAAAAAAACTTGAAAAACACAGAAAAAGATGGTCAGTGTCAGCCAACAGACCAACTACAAAGCTCAGAACAGAACTTAGTCCTTGGATAGTCCAACACTCACATTACTCATTAAGCTGCACCATTTCCAAATGTTGACATAAAATATAGCCCATTTACACTGGTAATTTTTGATTACTAGCAAAATTATATGTCTATGCATACATACCTTCATGTGTATACACACTTATGATTAGGAACAGGGCAAATCTACTACTAAGCTGCAAACTCAATGAAACACCAGTAAACAGAGGAAGCTTGACAGCTACTCCATAAATGAATTGAACTGTATAGAAATAATATCCACGGACAATTCAGCTCCCCCTTCCACATCCTACACTCGCTGGATTTATGGGGAAGAGACAACCAGAAGTCACGCAACATGTGGCAGACGAAATCCCATATTACATCAACAGAAAAGGATCAAGTGGCAGAATAACAATCTCCTTAAAGAAATCTAGAACAAATATCAAAATAAAAGTCAGAGAATTAATTATTATTAATTATTATCAATTTTTCTAGGTAGAAAGTGGATAAACCCTTATTTCAGCTGAGAGGTGAATAGGAGATCACAAAAATTGCTTGTTTCCTTCCTCCTCCACTTACCCTCTAGGTTACACCTTCTAACACGGTTAAACTACCACCTAACTTAGTCCTGTTGCTATCACTAACTCACTACACATGTGCTAGCTTTCCCTGCCAAATCCTGTAGCAAATCCTTCCGTGGTTCTACCAGACATTGAGTCAGGCTCAAAGTATGCCTCCATTAACCACCATATGTCATCTCATCTCAAAGTCAACAATTCCTGAAAAGCCATTCCTCCTGCCAGCCGATTGGGGTCTAAATTCATTACAGTCGGTAAGTACTGCCCACATCTCCAAGAGGGTGGCACATAACTCCTTGCACTACCAAGATTTTGTGACCTTTTTTCACACATTAGTGTTAGACAATCTGAACTCCATATATACGCATTTTAGCGGATCTTATGAAATCTACTAATGACAGAGTCAGAACTATTAGAGCCGATTACCTCTAAAGCATGAAAATCCTGTTAAAATCTAGATAAGTACGAAAACAGCTACTTACTGGTTTCGGCATTTTTTTTTATTGTTTTCTTTACAGTCTCTTGTCCAATTAAATCTTCAAAAAACTTTTTGTCCCCTTCTGTCAAGAAGAAATATAAAAGGGTTATTTTTACATTAATCATAACAGAGTTCATGTACATCACAGCAAATAGTACAAATTCCAAAGCAGATAAACAAGTGCTTTACATGTACAAAATACACTCTTGAATAGATAACATCATTCGAAGCAACCGAGTTACCTCGTACCAGAAACTACAGGCATCAAAGAAGTACCATCCACTCTAGTTTTCCTAGAATAGTAATCCACTGATGTTAGACTAAAGAGACAATGATTTTTATGACTCAGACCTGCTGCTGGTCTGCAAAGAGTACCAAAGGTGTATCATCTGCAAAAATAATATTGACTAGAAAAAGTTGCACTAGGAAAAATGAGAAAAACCTCATACTGCTCAGAACGATCTGAGATTCCAACATCACAATTCCACAGCCATTCCATCTCAGACAGATAAAGTTTTCAGAAATGTTGAAGGAAAAAGTTTTAGGAGGAAAAAAAATATTAGAGTGATTTACTTACCAAAAAAATCGAACTTTTGTATAAATGATTTTTCGCTCTTAAAAAAAAAAGAGTATTGCTACATATGTTTGAAGAAGTTATTGTCTCTTTACTTCTTGGCAAAAAAAAGATATGCTAAATATCAGAAAGATCTGCACAGCAACCTAAGGAGCAACAGCAGGTTTTTTTATTTCTTTTTCTGATCTGTAGAGCTACATTTGAAAAGAGGGACGGGAGAAGATAGACAATTGATGAAAAAAGAACGTAAAAAGTATCAATGTTGCTGGCTGGTAAAGAAAAATGAATGTTAAGACTCTAAAGATCATATAAAGAAAGACCTGTTGTATGTTGTAATGCGGATATAGTAAATTTTTTTAAGGAAAAAACAGCTTAAAAATTAATACAATATCCTTAAGGTATATTCACTGACAAAATGAACACGGTACAACTATAAAGGTATGACAGCAAATTGCCTAGCATAAAGACAATTACATTACTGTACATTTTGAAAGAGTTTTTAGTTATAGAAGATATTCTAAAGTACTGGAAAGTATCAGCAAGACTACTTCACTATTCTAAGATACAGTTCAATACATTCTTGAAAAATGCAAGCTTCTACACTTCTCTGCAACTTGTTTTCAAAACTTTTTGATTTTACCAAGAAAGGCTTCAGGAGAAAAAGGATAAGAGAAACATTTTTCTGTAAGGTTTTCTGGATCCTTAAAACACTGCCTGTAAAATTCAACAGCACATTTTCACTTCACAAATGCTCTTCTCCTCCCCTCTTTCTCTAAAGTACTCCTCAGAAAATTTCTACAAGCTAATAAAAAGCAAAACAACCTTGGCTCTTACTTTTGCTATCAGTAAGTAGGATTTTGATCTGTAGTAATCCCTATGTTCACCTTTTTACCAGCAGAGTCTCACTGCTAGTAAAACTAAAGGCAGATTGAAGCCCTGGAGTTAAACTCAGTTAATTAACAATGCAAAAGCTAAATTAGATTCTCCTCTACCATTTTATAAGTGTGCCAACTCTACAGCATTAAAAGGAATAAGAAGTAGCACAACTATTTTCAATGCAAATCTAACTATAGGCACAGAATAAGGAAGAGGTATGGTAAGGTAAATCCTTCTCTTTAAATGCAAAAGTTAGTATTTCTCACTAGAAATTCTACCAAACCTTTGCTAAGTCCAAAGAATTGATTGTTCTTCAATACAGCAGCAAAAAAGATTTGGTAGGGCAGTCTCTCCAACAGTAAATCAGTATCTTTTCATGCTACTGCTCCAACTTTACATTTTTTCAATTTAATACAATGATCACAAATAACTAATAAAAATCAATTAACTTATATTCTATTATAATCACATACAAATATAATACCGTGAGGGAGAGTTAAATGTGATCCATGTAAAACAGAGAAACAAAAAAAAAGTTAAGACTACTAGCATTAGTTAAGTTCGGTCTCCGGGAAATAAACAGTAGCATACGGCACAAGAATGAGATCTGTGTTACCAACTACTTTCTGAAGTCTCGCCAAAAGAGAACGTCTATCACTTTCTAGCAAGACTCAGTCAGACCCTCATACATTTTTAACATTGTAGGTTCTTCCACAAATGTGTTCTACTTTTTTGCTTTTGGTTTTACCCAAACATTTTCTTAGACTACTACCAACAAATCCTGAATTATTTATTAGAAAATATATTTTAAAACTTCAAGGTAATATTTTTTTAAATCAGAAATGTGACTACAACATTTCATAGGAGAATTCTATGTCATCAAGTCACAATCAGTAGACAAATACTTTAACTGAGTTTACAGAATGAATATTTATCATTTATATGCAGCAAAATAAAGCACTAGCCAAACTAAGAATCTTATTGTGCAAAACCCCATACCAATAAATAACATCACTGTCAGTCCCACAGATCTTATGAATCTGATTAATTATAATAGTACATAAGCAACAGAAGAAATCTACCAATTAAATTCTAGTTGAGGTATTTTTCTCTAAACAGTTTGCTGATAGTATCTTTCAATAAAGAGAAAAAAACCTGTCACTTCTTTAAAAAAATGAAACAAATTTAGTAAATTTATAGTCAACTATGCTGCAGCTTATTTCTCTTTCAGATCATAAAGACCTTGTGCTAAATTATGAGAAGAATCAAACTAAACTAATTCAGATATTAGTGTAAAACTTAAATCATAAGATGGAAACAGTGGTCTGGGCATAGCACAACAACAGCCTGAGTCTACATGCTTTCACATTCAAAGCGCTATGCAAATTCAAAACAGTATATTCACATAAGAGCACTGCAACTAAGTGTTATCTCCATATAAAATTAAGAATTTTGCAGACTTCAAGACTATGTAAAAATTGAAATGAAGCAAGCGGTGAATAGAAAAACACCACCCATCCTTCCCTATTATTGGCACCAGCCAACATTCAAATGAAACAAATACCAGGAAAAATATCTGGCCAAAAGAAACTGAAAATCATTGCCAGGCAGAACACTGTGCATCTCCCCTATTATTACTGGAGCGGGAGTTCATTTCTGCTGCTTATATGTTTCTAGTGAATTTATATTTAGTGATTTAGTGGATGCAAGCATTTCAGTTTTACCAAATACTACGCTTTGAAACAATTACTCACATATACCTGCTTTTATCTTAACACCAGTGTCAAATTGCACTGCAAACAGAAGAAAAAATGGCCAGCCAGGATTGGAAACTACCCCCATATCACTTCCCAGGTTCTGAAAAGAGCCTGTGACCTACTGTACACAAAGGCTCATCACTTTGGCTTTTCAGCTCCTAAAGGTGCCTCTTCCAAGTCACGATTAGCAGATTTCTGACTTTGCAGAGCTCCTACTGCTGTGGCACTCCAGTCCTCGGGGCTTCGTAGTATATGCTAGTGATTCAGACTGAGCCAAACTGCCAAAATGTGACCTGGCTCCACATGACATGCAAACGAAATAAGTCATCCACAACTCCAAAAATTATCTTGAAAAGCAGAATTGTGATTTTAACTGATTTCACTACAAGTCAGTTAGATTTTGAAATCATTATCATCCATGTTTCTGGTTATGCCTGAGAAGCCAACAAATAAAGTAATTGTTGAAAGATGACAAAGAAAGCTTTCTTTGTAAAATGATGGTGCATAATATGCTTGGTGCCAAAATTCTGTCATACAATTTATGCAGCAGCTGTTTTCAAAAGAAACATTCATACACAGCCATGGGTCTGAGGTCAGGTGAGGAAGGGCTAGGAGGCAGAAGGCTTGAGCAGGATGTCTGCCTGGCAGACAGTCAACGAATCCTCAAAAGCAGGATCCCCATCTGACAGCTTGGGAGCTCCTCCGAGAACCAGCCTCCTCAGTAGTGTGCCTCCTAAGCTCTATAAAAAGGAAGCTCATCATCTGTGCCTCTACATACAGATGATGGGAATGACAGGCCTTTGGGTACAGCAGTATAACCCTCTTATCCATTTATTTACAGGAACATATTTAAAATAAATATACCTTTTCTTCCCCGGATTCTTATGCCATCCCAATTTCTGCGATACCTACAAGTTTTAGATCTTTGAGGCGGCAGCAACAGGAAACTTGCAGGTTCACTGTACCTGACTAACTGGTCTCAGCTTTCTGCAGAAAAGTCTCTACTCTAAAGCAACCTGTGAGTACCTGCAGGGCAATTATCTTTTCCACTAATCTTAACAGCTTCCTAGCGACGCATTTTCTGAACAGAACTTCTTAGAGAAGTTCATGTGCCACAGACTTTAGGTCTGCATACATCTCTTTCAGACAGATGAGGGAAGGTGGTCTACACAAATGTCTGAGATGGAGGCAAACCGAGGAAGAAACCAAAATAAGCTATTTCATTAAAAAGGCAATTCTGTAAGAAACCAATAATAACCAAGATGTGACTGACGCTGGATATCTTTTGTAGAGTTTTACATACCAAT